ATAATTTTTTTTCAAGTAATCCCTTAAATTTTCATTTGCATAAGTTAAAAATATTGCATAGTTTCCATTATCTGGGAATTTAGTTATACCATAGCAAGGAACAATCATATGTGATTTAATTTCAAAATAATTTACTGCCCGTAATTAAATATAAAATCAATTAGTAATATATAATAGAACATTGTTTATAAATGACAATTACCAACCTCATCAAAAAAGCCTTTTCCTAGATTACTTGAATCATTTAAACTTTTTAATACTACTAATTGCCCTCCTCCTAAATAACTAAATTCCTTTTTACTTTCATCATAATCAATTATTTGTCCTCTTGTCCATGTAGCAGTATAAATTGAACTAAATCCACCTTCTGTCAATTTTGTTACTTTTTTAAATTGCTCAAAAGGTATCCATTCTAAAATATATTTTGGCAGAGATGATTTCATTTGACATTGTTGAATAAAATCATCAATTATGTTATTTCCAGATGTCCATGTGGTGTAAAGACTCTGTAATTGTAAACTAATGCAACCTTCACAGAACCTATCAGAGTAACTTGTCAATTTGCACTTGTTACATTCTTTTGGTTGACCAGATTTATAAGTTGCATTTCTTAATTCAATATCATAAATAAACTCTTCTTTACAATATTCTTTTTCATTTTCAGAAAGCTCCTAATGAAAAAAATAATCTTTCCTACTTTCTTCATCAGAATTAACTGTTGCATTACTATGCATTTCACCATGAATTTTATATACAAATTCCTCTCTTTCTAGTGATAACAATGACGATAGTTTAGCATGTGACATTATATAAAAATTTTACTTGGTGTTTTTAGAGTGTAATTTTTTTTTGAGAACAACGGGTTTTCCTTAACATACTAATACATATATAAACTAGCAATTGGCAATAGCAATAGCAAGTGCACACACTTATTTATTGTAACACATACAAAAAGAAAGTCAACTATGATGCTATCACTATTATTATTGTCTGCAGCTGACATTTTGTATTCACCATCTTCATTGAGGCAACCTCCACTATATTCTTATATATCTAGAAAATTGTCATCATCATATAAAAAAAAAAGAATAAAACAATAATTTCTAATCAACATACAATTAACATGATTAAAATTTGTAGGATTAAAATTACCAATCAGTCTAATTTTAATTTGTGCAAGGCCAATAAATATAATCATTAATTAAAAATTTTTTTTTGAGAAAAATAATTTAGTTTTATATTGATTGAAGTAGCTGACCAACCAGAGGTTGCAGACAGTTGCAGCAATTGCAGACTTACAGCAGTTGCAGCATTAGATGTCAATATTTTTTTGGGTTGCAACTTCCTAGTTGCGGAGCCATCTTTAATAGAAATGAATAAGATAATCCATTGGGGTAAAAGTCAGAATTTATAAGGCTTTTATAACTTGCTTTACTAAATTTTACTGACATACTCCATTTAGAAATATGACTTAATAATAAATAAAGTTGATATGCATTCAATTTTAAAAGTGTACAAAACTGGGTAAGTAAAGTACAGCTGTAATAGTCATAAAAAAAGAATATCACATTTAAACTCCATTGCATCTTAATTCACAGAGGAATATTGGTCACAACAAACATCAATAATCAAAGATTTTTTTGTTCTTCAACTTGGAATCTCATAAAAAAAGACACAAAATTTGGTCTTGATGATGAATAAATTCATTCATCATTAAAATTGGGAAACTTGATCTAGTGGAAGCCAGGTTAGAACTTGATAGGCTAATTTATACATGCCACCCAAATCCCAAATGCACAAACTAAATTTGGGGCATCCATTGAAGAATCCCCAAATCCAAATGTAAATCAGTTTTCTTGCTCAACCAATAAGTGCCTGGAATTTGTGCGGATGATCAGTAATCCCTTTGTTATGTTGGATGCTTATTGGACAGGAGAGCAAGTACAGGAATCTGATCTACATTTGGGGTTGTGCATTTGGGATGCACAAATTAATTCGGGTGGCATCTACAGGCTAATTATACCAGATAATGAGAACAGTGAGAGCTGGAGATACACTTCCTGGTCATAAATATAAGGACACTTGCAGATCATCGGAAATAATTGAATAAAGAAACATGAAAAAAAATAAAAATTTTATTAACCTAACCGCATTTGCTTATTAAGTAAAAATTCATCTTCATATCAAATAGTATAACATACTGAAGTTTCGCTGCATATAAACAACAACTTGTTGTTTTACGAACCTTAAAAAATAAAAATGAATTTTTCGGAATTTTCAAAAAAATCTTTAACTCGAAAATTGACCACAATGTCGAGTTCTAACGACCTTTGCGGTATAAGTGAAAAATGCGTCTTATGTTTGAATCTAGTTATATCCAAAGTTCTAGATCATTTGGTAAATTAATTGCCAAGATGTCATACAAAATTCTCAAACGAGTTAATTTTGAAGATCTTTTAAAAAAATCCCAAATTAGATAATTCATTTAAAGTAAACTTTAACCATTTCATTTTTTTTAAAGAAAACTTAAAATGCCCAAAGCTACTCAATTATCCGAATTTGAACGTGGAGAAATCGTTGGTTTAAAAAAAGCCAATTTTTCTTATAGAGAAATAGCTTGTATATTAAATAGATCCAAAAGTGCAGTTGAAAAGGTTGCCAATGATTATTTTTCAAAAAATAAAACAACTGCAGTTCTTAGACCTGGCAGACCTAAAAAGTTATCAGAGCGTGATGAAAGACAACTTATGAAAGCAGTAAAAAAGGATACTAAAACAACTGCTCTTAAATTAGTCAAGAGTCTTGAAGAATTAAACATTGTAACAAGTGAGAAAACTATCAGACGAACATTACATTCTAAAAATGTTTATGGAAGAAAAGCTGTCAAAAAACCTCTTGTTTCTGATGTAAATAGGAAAAAAGGTTATACTGGTGCCATGCAAGAAAAAATTGGAGTCGTAATGAATGGGATAAAATAATATTTAGTGATGAAAGTAGATTTGAGTTGTTTCAAAACGATTCAAATGATTGGGTCTGGAGGAAGCCAGGAGAAAAATATAATAAAGAAAATTTAAGTCCAACAGTAAAAAAATCTGATGGAATTATGGTTTGGGGATGTTTTACAAGAGAAAAAATGGGTCCATTAGTATTAGTTGAAGGTAAATTAAATGCAATTGGTTATAATAAACTTCTTGCAGAAAATTTACTACCTTATATTAATGAATTAAGAGAGGAGAATCGTGGTGGTGATGGTGGTGGCGATGGTGATAGTGGTGATGATGATAGTCATGGTTGTAGTCGTGTGTTTACTTTTCAAGAAGATAATGCACCATGTCATAAAGCAGCTGTAGCAAATCGATGGAAAGAGGAAAATCATATTATGGTTCTTCCTTGGCCTGCTCAAAGTCCAGACCTCAATCCTATTGAAAATTTATGGCAGGATTTAAAAAGAAGACTTAGAATGAGAAACCCAAAACCAAAAAATAAGACAGAACTATTCAATTTATTAAAAGAGGAATGGTTTAACACTATCCCAGAAAGAATTAATAGATTAATAGATAGTATGCCACAAAGGGTGGATGCTGTTTTAAAAAATAAAGGAAACCCGACAAGATATTGATTTTTTTTTAATAAAATACAATTAATTTAGAACAGTTTCATATATTTTTTTATGTCTTTTATGTTTCAAATTGGTGAGCAGTTTGAGGTTGAATTGTTTCGTAAAATTTTCTACGTTTTATTTTTTTTCTCGTTAATTAATTTACCAAATGATCTAGAACTTTGGATATAACTAGATTCAAACATAAGACGCATTTTTCACTTATACCGCAAAGGTCGTTAGAACTTGACATTGTGGTCAATTTTCGAGTTAAAGATTTTTTTGAAAATTCCGAAAAATTCATTTTTATTTTTT